AAGATTTTATTTATTTATTTGACAGAGAGACACAGCGAGAGAGGGAACACAAGCAGGGGGAGTGGGAGAGGGAGAAGCAGGCTTCCCGCCGAGCTGGGAGCCGGATGCAGGGCTCGATCCCACGACCCTGGGATCATGGCCTGAGCTGAAGGCAGACGCTTAACGACTGAGCCACCCAGGCACCCTGTCACTAGTTAGTTTTAACTGCTGCATTTGATGAGCTTGCTTTTATAAACATTAATATTTACATGACAAAAAACTAACCTATTACAGTAATTAATAAATAATGGATGCCAATATTTCTTGAGCATTTATCATCTGCCCTGCACTATTTTAAGTGATTTACACACACTAATTTTTTTACCCACATACAGAGCTGATGAAGCAGGGTTTTTTTTTATCCCCATTTTGCAGATGGGAAAATGGAGGCCCAAATAAATTAAGAAATGCACCCAGTCACACAGCTAGTAAACAGATGACCCAGGATGTGAACTAGATTATCTAACTCAAGAAACCAACAGGTAAACCACTACTCTGTACAGACCAACACTTGTTTTAAGGATTTTCACAGTTTGTAATTCGTTCTCCTCCATGACTTAGATAATATGAGTCACATCTTATAAACAGGAAAACTACACCACAGAGAGGCTAGCGATTTGCCTCAGTCCCCTTGCCAGTAAGTAAAAAAGCAGTTCTTCAACCCAGCTTCTCATTCCAAATGCTGCGCTCCCCCCATGCCATCTGAAACCCCCTTGGAGCTTAACTAAAACAGTGGTGCCCAAAGTGAATTTCATAAATATTCTTTAATGAAAGACTTAATCAAGCACTTGTTCAAACACTTAAGTTCTACTCTAAATGCTTTACAAATATTAACTAATTTGGGGGGGCTGGGTGGTTCCGTCGTTAAGCATCTGCCTTCAGCTCAGGTCATGACCCCAGGGTCCTGGGATTGAGTCCTGCTTTGGGCTCCTTGCTCAGTGGGGAGCCTGCTTCTCCCTCTCCCACTCCCTCTGCTTGTATTTCCTCTCTCACTGTGTCTCTCTCTGTTAAATAAATAAAATCTTAAAAAAAATACTAATTTAATCTTCATAACAGTATGAGATGGGTATGATTATCATCCTCATTTTAAACACGACAAACTGAGGCATAGAGGCAAGTCACATAACCACTAATGGCAGAACCAGGATTTGAGCCCAGTCTGTCTCGGAATAGGAAGAAAATTCCACAAGTCATTGTCAAGTGCCTTTTTGTGCCAGGCATTATTGTAGGCACCGGGCCTGTGGCAGAGACAAAACAGCACACAGACATGCCTGCCCTCCTGGGGCTTATCTGGTGTTGGGGAGAAGAGAATAAACCTGGACAAACTTGGGAAAGGATCCTAATGAGGAGTGACTAACACCGCACGGGGTGGGGCCTGTGAGACCATGAGGCGGGGGGAGGGGAGGAGTGACGGGCCAAGGGGGGCAGAGGTGGAAAAGCAGGAAGGGGCATGTGCTTTCCGGAGATGGTGAAGTGACTCCAGACAGCAGAGGCGTCACGTGGTGCATCATGTGACCGTGAAATTGGGAGATGGTGAGGGAAGAAAGATTGTCAGATTGTCCGAGCCTGGAAGAGGATGGGGGTGTGAGGAAACGGAAGGGAGGTGGGAGCAAAGCAGTCATGACCCCTACCTCATGCCATAGCCACCCAAGCTTTGCTTATGTTCAGTTACCTGAGGCACGTGTGTGGGGCTTAGATGTGTACAAGCCAAGGCAGAGGATAAAGGAAGAAGGAATAGAGGACGGGAAGGGTCAAGGACTGACGCAGACATTTGCCTTTGCTGAGTCGGCCTCCCTCTTTGTCCACCCACCCTCCCCAGGAAGCCCTTTACCTGTCTCCGGTGGTCTAGGGCTCCTTCTGAGATGTGCTGATGGATCCCGAGAGAAAACGCAGAGCTTTCAGCAGCACCGTCAAAGGCCCCCGTGGTTGGCCCCATGGCCATTTCACTTCCTGTCCCTCCACACCCCTCAGACACCCCCCCCCGCCCCCGTCCTCACAAAGTGCCTGTGCATGCTCTGCTGCTCTCTCACCACTCTTCAAACTCGTCCCGACCTCAACCGGAGTCATCTGCCCTCTGCCCACCCCGCCCCACCCACCTGCATAAACCCGTTCGGTCTGTCAAGGAGACCTGGCTTGCCGTCTCTCGGAAGCTCTCTGTTCCCCCCTTACACTGGCTCTCTGCACCTCTGACCCCCCTCCTCGCCCACTCTGTGTGGAGCTGTCTGTGTACCTTCTCTGGTCCTGGTCTTTCACAAAGAACCCTGGATTTTCCATTTCTGAGGACTTCCTGCCTCCCTGCACAAAATAGAGTAGGTGCTCAATAAATGTTCGTGGAGCTCCAGGCCCGTGCCTCCTGACTCCCAGAGAGTAGCGTGCCCACGGGTGAGAGGGCACGTGTGGACTTTGTTGTTGCAGATCCGCCATGTGCACCACCAGTTCCTGCGACCTGGAGGAGATCCCCCTGGATGATGACGACACAAGCAGCATAGAATTCAAAATCCTGGCCTTCTATGCCAAACACCATGTCTTCAAGAACAGCCCCGCGGTCTTCTCGCCAAAGCTGCTGAGAACAAGGAGTTGGTCCCAGAAAGGACTGGGGGGCTGGCCAGCAAACGAGTCACGGACACAGGTGTCGTGGCCTTGCAGAAATTCCCCATCCAGCGAGAAGCCCCTAAACCTGGCCAAGAAAAAGTCTTCCTGGAAAACACTCTTTGGAGTAATAGAGAAGGAGGAAGATGCACAGAGCTCACCTGTATTCGTTTTGCAGGGTGCCACAGCACATCAGGCTGGTCCTCAGAGTCAGCAATGGTCTAGGTCCCTCACTAACGTAGAGCAGCATGCCGAGCGGGAAGGTAGGCTTTTAGGGGCTGCTTCTCTCCCAGGACAAAATCTTTCCCTTCTTTGTATGCGTGGTATTTCATCTCCTCTCAGCTGGTAATGTGGCCTGAGGCAGGGCACTCCACTGTGTGGAGTTTCCCAACTTATTAATGTTCAGAATAATTGCCCTGCTTTTCTCGAGACTGAGTAGAAAGTAAGAGGCTGTCAGTGAAGGGTGGCAGGACTGGTTTTCTGGCTGCACTGTCTAGAAATAAGCTTGCTGCCCTAAGTCCTGATCCTCTGTGCCAGAGACCAGTATGGAGGGAAGAGCCCTATGTGGGGGTTCAGGCTGCCGTTCTTCTTGAGGTAAGTCAACTCACCTTTCTGGGCTTCTGTTTCCAGCTGTGTATTGGGGTATCCCACCCTCCCTACGTCTTAGGGTGGTGGATGGAAAGATCAGGTAGCTACATACAAAAATACTTTTCAAGGTATAAAGCACTCTAAAAAAACAAAAACAAAAACAAAAACTGACAGACATTTTAGGCACTCTAAAAAAACAAAAACAAAAACTGACAAACATTTTAGTTTGGGTTTTTTTTAAAGATTTTATTTATTTATTTATTTATTTATTTGAGAGAGAGAGAGAGAGCACGAGCACTGGGGAGGGGTAGAGAGAGAGAAGCAGACTCCCTGCTGAGCAGGGAGCCCGATGCAGGACTCCATCCCAGGATCCTGAGATCATGACTTGAGCCGAAGGCAGACGCTTACCCGACTGAGCCACCCAGGCGCCCCAGCTGAGAAGCATGTTGACAAAACCTTTCCTCAGTGGGACAAAATACATTATATTGAATAAAACATTTTCATGAAAGACTTCACCATAGAGAGTTGCCCTTCATCTACAAACCTTGGCACAAGCATCTTCTTCCCCTTCAACAATGCCCAGTCCCTGCTGCCCAGGTTTTGAAAGAAAACCCCTTCTCCTGCTGAGTTTGATTGCTGGGCTAACTTGTCAGTAATTAGTCAACAGGTGGCAGTAATGTCTCAATTTTAAAATGGTGTGACTCTCCCGGCTTACTTGGAGAATCAGCCCACAGTTGGCGGTTTTTGATCACTCACTATGACCAAGGAAACTTTTATTTCCCAAACTTTTATAAGTCCCATAGACAAATAAAATTTTAGAACAGGAGTTAGGGGTGAGATTATCTGGGGAACTCCTCCTCTCCCCACCCCCCAGTGATACAGCAAGCTCCTGCTGGAGATGGTAGCTGAGCTTGGGGCATCAACAGTTTGGAGGTACCTAAATAGGCTTTTCTGCTTGCCTATCCTTTGGACTTCACAGACGCAAAGGGAGCGTTTACAGACTTTAATCTTCTGGTTTCCTGAGATAAATGACATTCTGTATTTCATAGGTACGGAAGTGTCATTTGACCTTTTTATTTAGTAAAATTTCAAGATCTCTATATAGATAAAGATATTCTCTAAAATAGTAGAAATGATTACTTCCTAAGGAGCCCTTGCCGTAGACATTTATGTTCAGTGTATCCTCCCTTCCTACCTTTCTCTTGCCCACTTTCTTGTTTGGTGCATTATGTGGGTGGTTAGTTGGTTTTACATTAGATGTGACTCAAGAGAGCCTCGCGTTCTATTTCTGTTTTGCCATGTATAAATCAGAGCTTAGCAGTTGGTGTCACCTGGGTTCTTTTAACTGAAGGTCACAATTTCGACTTCTCTGCTGTGTCCAGGATTCAGACACCAGGCCTCAGTGAGAACTGTAAGCTATGTCCCAAGATCGAAGCCTAGAAGTGAGAGGTCTTAGGAGGTAGAAAAATGGGCATCAGTACCAACCCAGGTTCTTTGACTTGTGAACCCTTGTTTGTCCACAGCTAGGATTTGCTACATGTGGAATGTTACAGTTACGATTAGGTTCGGATACACAGAGTGGAAAACTCAAATAACTATGGCTTCAATAATGTAGAGATTTCTTTTTCTCTCCTATAAGAGAAGACCAAAGTTTGGCATCCCAGGGCTCATATGGCAGCTCCAACAATCATTAGAGATTCTTATTCTGCCATCCCTTGGCTAGTGGCTTCCAACCTCAAAATCACTTTGCATTCCAAGTTGGCTGCAGAGACTCCATTTCAAGCAGGAGGAGGAGGAAGCAAGGTGTGGGGGCCACAAAAGGGTGTCTTCTTTCTAGATAATTCCCTTCCCTTTCAGAGAGCTTTCTTGAACCCACACTCAACTTTTCTTACATCTCATTGGCCACTCCTTACTGTAAGGGAGGCTAGAAAATGTAGTCTGTTCAGCTCAACCCATTGCTGCCTGTAACACCTCGGGTGGGGCTCTTGCTAAGGAGGAAGAAAATTCATTTCTTACAGGGAAGGAAATAGCAGTCTCAACCATAGAAAAATGCCATACCCCTTCTATTTAAAACAAATGCCTCAGGCCCTGCATTGGGCCCTGAGCTCAGTGGGGAATCTGCTTGAAGATCTCTCTCCCTCTCCCTCTGCCCCTCCCCCCCGCTCGCACTCACTCTCTCTCCCTCTAAAATAAATAAATAAATAAATCTTTTTTTTTTTTTTAACACACAAATGCCTCAGGCCAAAGGCTGGCTGGCACCCTCTCTACTGTGCTGTGCTCTCTTTCTCTCCTTGGCTCCGTAGTGATACTCCCCCCAGAATAGACCCCAAAGGATGGGCAGCCTTTCTGTTCTCTCCCTACCCCATCCAATTCTCCCTTGCCTATCAGATGAGATCAACTCTTAACAAGAAGGGAATCTTTTCTCAGTGTTTAAAATTAAGGTTTTTAAAATGGGAATCTCAACTAGAGCTAGTTCATCTGAGTGTTTGCTTATCCTGTTTCCTGCACATACGTCACCTGCCTCTCTCACTCCGTATCCACCAATTCATAGAAATGGATATGCTGTAAGCAAGCGAGCCAGGGTGGCTATTTCTGTGGCCGCCAGTGGTCTCCTGATTACCTTGCCACAGGATGGGGGCTGGAGGATGAGGACGGACCACCTCTGGGGCCTTCATCTGCTTCCTCTGAGTGCAAGATCGGGACAGTGTGACTTCTGGTGGGAGAGCCACGCGCTGACCACTGCAGACAGGCTGCACAGGGTTACAGAGGAAGAAGCTTTCCTTTCCCATTTTCTGCGGACACAAGGGAAGGCTCCCACTGGCTTTGGGATTCAGCCGTTTTCCCATTTCCTTGCCAGGGGCCATGCATGGCCAGCATTCCATAGGAGGCTGGTTGGGCTGCAATAAGGTGAAAAGTATATATTTGCTTTGATTATTAAAATCGGAAGGAAAAGCATCGGTCCTTTTCTCCATGACTTCTCTCCTAATTCTTCTCTCTCGATTCTCTCCTTATCTGTTTTTGAACCCAATGTGCCAAGCATGAAAAAGTGTGGCTTTTTAAGAAAACCATTATGCCCTTCTTTAAAGGAAAGCATTTTGTGGATAGCACTTTATGTATCCTGGTTTCCCTATCGGCATTAAGTAGATGTTTCCCATTAGACGTGGAGGAGAGAGAAGACACGTTAACTATATGAGCAAGAGCAAGGGGAGTTCGGTGTTTTCTTGATAATGGGCTTTGAATAATGAATATGGCCTGAGAGCAGGGATATTTCTCTTTCCTCAGTGACAAACCCCCAAAGGCTTGTCAGACTATTGAATGCCCTCCTATGCACATAGGGGCCAGCTCTTCAAGATATAAAGGATGTCCAAAAAAAAAAAAAAAGAATAAAAATAAAAGCATAATGAGCATTCCCTCAAGCAAAGAACTAAGCACTTTCTTTTGTGTTTCTTCCCTTGCAGAGAGGAAAGGGGACCCTAATTTTGCAAGACTTCAAAAAGAGGGTGCAGAAGGGCAATTGTTTCAAGGTGGCAATCATTCCTCGGTGCACTCCGCCCCCACCCCAGCCTCTGCCAGGCAACTCCCAGTGCTTTCTGAAGAATGGCCTCCCCCCCCACCTCCCCCCTGCATGCACACACCGCAGTTTCCCTCTAGGCTGGCCTTTTCATTTCGGGCGACTGTGCATACCAATGAGCTAGACAAAGTTCTCCTGGGAAGGGCGCTCAGCCCCATTTGGTCTCGTTTCAGCTGTGGACCCCAAAGTTGTTTCCATCACCCATCGTGTTGCTGAAATCGTTTATTCCTGGCCCCCGCCCGAAGAGTTCCAGGCCGAGGGAGGAAGCTCCAAGTCCAAGGGGAATTTTGTCCATCAGTTCATCCAGCGCCAGGGCCAGTGCTCCCAGCCTCGAGCCACCAGTACTAAGAAAGGTAAAAACTTCCCTTCCACGCGCTTGGGTCGGGTTGAGTGTTTGCCAGGCAGAGGTGCACAAGCATCAATGTATTAGCCAGCACTGGGCTCTGCCGTTGAAGCATCCCTGCTGCCCTGGACCAAAGGCATGACAGCAACGTGCTGGAGGTGCCGCCGACCTTTAGCTTTGGAGACCAGCCTAGGCCCAGGGGAGTGCGCCAGCCACACTCTGAAGCAACGGGCCAAGCTCCCTGCGAAGTGCAAAGAGAAGTCTCCCGGTGGGGGGGGGCGGGGGGGGCACGTAGAAGTAGAAAGTGGGCACGCCACCTTGTCCACAGAAGGCAATGCAGTACTCGATTCAGTCATGTGGGCAATGGTCAAGGGCAATGGCCAGTTTGCTTATGGAACTGCACGGGGTATAGATGGCACATCAGCCTGGGGACTTCTAACACTGCCGGGGGCTCCTGGGAAAAAGCAGGGCGTTGTCAGACACCAGGTCTGGTGCAGCCCATGAAGCAGACCCGAGAAGTAGTGAGCAGAAGGCGGTCAGTTGCCAGCAAAACCGGAGCAGGAGCGAGGACCGGAGTTCCCATCAGATGGGCAGGAATTGAGGGGAGCAGAACCGAACGCCACAGGAAGAGACATTTGGTCCTTCTTTCCCTCTCTGACCACTGTCCCTGCTCCTGGCTCCCTTTCCCCAAACTGCAGCAGAGGGGCTGGGGCAGAGACGGCCCCCTGGGTTGGCAGTGTGCCCATGTGCCAGGAGCTGGTGTCCGCGACTCCCAAGCCTGGAAGCAGAGTAGGGAGTCCGCCTGCATCATGCTGCGCTGTGGGGCTTAGAGTGAGTGGCCGGAGGAGGTCCCTCTGAGTGCTTGGAGAAGAAAGGTGTCTCCACTTTATTGTGATCTCCTGGGTGACATAAAGCCATACCCCGCTGCAAGCTCAAGCTAAGGCTATTGGCCCCCGTGCACATGAGAAATCCAGGCTGTTGTTAGAGCACCTTTCCCGGGAAGACGCAGAAGCATCAGAGAAAAACTCCACACGGGCAATGGGGACCCGCGTTCTTGCTTCTCCCACGGGACTTGAGTCTCAGACTTCCCACTTACCTTGCCTTTCGCTGGACCTTCTTGGGATGTGACGGGCTGGATTGATGTCCTGGCCTCCCTTGCCCTCTTATCTAGAACAAACAGGAAGACTTCACGACTTCAGGGATTGGGCCATAAGTGGAAAGTGCCGCTGGATCAGTAACTAGCTTTTCTCTGTTTGGAGTCTGTTCTGTGGCAACAGCCATTTTCCTCATGGTCGGTGGTTAGCTTGTTTTGAGATAAGAAAAATCATACTCCACCTCCCCCCCCCCGCGGCCCCCCCTTCCAACATATACCCCACAGCAACTGTAGCCGTCTCTCTATCCACCTGCCATTTTTAGCCTTCAGGGTGGGAGAACTTAATCATTTTATTTATTTATACCCCACCTGGTTATAAAGACAGCAAAGTATGCATTGTTAGTAAGATCAAATAAATCCCACTTGAAAGATAGTGGAAAATGAAAACACTAGTGGGGAAAGAAGGTAGATTTAGGAGTAAGTTTAATTCTCAAAATGCAGGCCAGGAAGACTGTGCCCCCTCTTCGATGGGGGCCACAAACTTGGCTCTACACTTTCTCGCAGCACAAAGGGGGGAATATGAACCAAATGGAATTTATGGTGTCCACGTGGAAAAAGCACATCTGCTCAGGGGAATCCTACAGACCAGAGAGAAAGTTCTCCTAAATATCTTCAGAGATAGGATCATGAGCAGTGGAACTAACATCTTCAACAACATTTTTACAATAAATATATGATGTATTTCGTGGTGAGAAGGGGGTTGCTGAGAGGAAAAAGGAAGAAGGAAGGAAAGGCGGGGTCTGTAGGAGAGGGTGGCTGGAGTGGTTTGTGCATCATCAGGCAAGGTGAGGCAAGAGTTAAGTTGCTAAGAATTACAAAGCACATGTCTCCCTCAATCCCTAAGCTGGCTACACGTATTGTCCCTGGGGGAAAAAGAATTAAGATTATATCTTCTCTTAAAAATAACTGGAATTTTCCCCTGACAGATGGAGAAGACCAAATTATAGCCAAAATTGTTGAGCTGCTGAAATATTCAGGGGATCAGTTGGAAAGAGAGGTATGGAGCTTCTTGAACTAATGTGATTTCTTTCTGTGCCCACGCACTGGGACAGAGAAAGGAATTGTACTCCAGATTGTATTCCTTTGCAAGTTCTGATTTCCACTTAGTCCTAAATTTTATTTCCCTTGGAGTGAAAATTCTTCATGCTGGCAGCATCTCAAAAATGAATCACTTTGGAAAACATAAGTAAACCTTCTGGAGCCTCCCTGGAATTTTTGGAAATGAAAAATGTAACTTTGTTATTGCAAGAAAAGACACCAATAAATTAAAATTTGCTGAATAGAATTATGAATCTAGTTCCCCATGTAACTGATCCTTGGGGAAGTTTAGACTCTTGCATTTGCCCTGCAGTCTGGATATCGATGTCCACGCCAGCTCCAAGGCTGGAGGCCTTCCCGAAATCTCCCCTGAGAGTGGCTGGACTCTTCTCTGCTCAAGGTCTTTCTTAGCAGTTTGGCCGGGCGGGGGCGGGGCGCGGGTTATGTGTTACTTGGAGCACTTTGGCCTTCCTGCCATTTAGAAGTCGAGACCCCATCATTCTGGTCAGGAAGGTGTGAGAGCGCCTTCAGATGCAGAGCTGGTGAGCAGGACCCCGCTGTAGTCAAAGAGAAGTTCTCTGTGGTTACCCACAGACTGTCAAGTAGTCTCCAGGGCGCGTCAGTCAGGCCCTGGCCTGTGGACCCTTTTTCTTGTCCTACCAGGATCAGTGGGCGGAAGTCAGGCCCCATGGGGCTTGTGCAGGAGGGGAAAAGCACTAACTGGCCAGCCAGCCTTCCCCAGTCCCAACATGCTCAGCAGCTCCTCTCTCAATGCGTTTGTCAGGGGTGTGCCCAGCAGATGGTGACCGGGATGGCGCAGAATGAGAAACGGAGAAAACCAGGGATACCAGATAAAAGAGAACAGGTTATGTGAGCTTCAGGTCCACAAGTAGAGCATGAACAGGGGTTCAGAGAAGGAACACAGAATGCGCCCTCCTATGTTTCTCCAGAACTAACATCAATGGATAGGAATGATGGGGCGATTGATTTTCTCCATTTTAGGAATGAACTTTCTAGCACTCAGGACTGCCTTGTGAAGAAATGATCTTCTGTCACCAGAAGAATTTCAAGGAGATCCCAGTGACCAGCCAGCAGTGCAGTACTTGAACTGGGAGGGACCTATTCAGATCCTCCAGGATTCTTTACAGCTTGAAGATTCTGTGGCTCTCTCATGGCAGCCTCCTTCCCAGCCTCCCTAAGCAGTGACTTGCATTGAGTCATGGAGGCAAGGGACAGGAGGTGGTATGAAGCCGACCTCCGTGGTTAGAGAGAGAGATGCTTTCCTTTTCACCCCATAAATTACCACTTAAAAAAATCTCGCTTTTCTTGGTGATTTGGGGTGATAACTTTACATTCTTTATGTAGAGAACATGGTTGTTTCCCCAGTAGCAGACTTTGGTGGGAACACACAGAGGGTCTGACTTTGCTGTGTGGGTGCGGGTTCCCACTAGGCCAGGACGGTGACGATGGGGAGGGCCGCTCCCTCCGTGGCTGCAGAGTGCCTGCAAAGCCGCTTATCCCTGAGAGCACATGTCAGCCTCATCCAGCACCTTCCTGAAAAGCCAGACAGCCAGGGGCAACCCAAAGGAGCAACGCTGGGACGGGCCAGGGTCCTCTGCAGAAGGTGTTTCTTTCTGGTGTTTGATTCTTCTACTGTTTTAGCAAGCCCAGGCTTCCAGCTACCCACTGGGGTTTTGAATCTAGCTTCTTCAACTGGGTCACTGTTCAAAAGGAGTCCATTCTTGCTGTCGAGGACACTAGCCCTTCTTCAGATTTATAATTCAGACGGGCCCCCTGTGTCTCAACGGAAGTTGGGGGGTGGGCTGGGCTCACGTAAAGAACATTGCTCCACCAAAATCTTTACATAGCATCAGGTGCACCCCCAGAATGTCCCTTTTAGAAACAGTATTTGTTGAGAAGCTGCTTAGCTTAGCATTCCTCAAAGACAGAACTAGAGGATTTCCAAAGAAACATGTAGCCCTCGCTCACTAAGTAATTTCTGTGTGACTGGAATCGAGGGTTTCCCACTGGGTGTTTTGGTGGCCCACTGCTGAGCTAGAGTCTGCTTCACGGGGCCAGGCTGCTCAACTGAACGCATATCATCTTGTATGCAGTTGAAGAAGGACAAGACTTTAATGAACAGCTTCCAGAACCAGCTATCCTACCCTGTTTTCAAGACCATCACAGACCGCTTCTTACGGGGTGTGGACACCAGGGGAGAATCAGAGGTCACAGCTCGGGGCTTTAAGGCTGCCCTTGCAATAGACGCCACGGCCAAGCTCACTGCCATCGACAACCACCCCATGAACAGGGTGCTGGGTTTTGGAACCAAGTACCTGAAAGACAACTTCTCACCCTGGGTCCAGCAGCAGGGTGGATGGGTAAGTGCATCCTATTTCAAAATGAATCTTCCCAGAATTCAGAGGAGGTGGAATGGAAAGTTATGGGTTTTTTGTTTTTTTCAGTGAAGGGAACACATCTTTGAAGCAGCTCCCAAGGATTAGAACAGTTGAGTGGCAAGAGATAGATCCCAGTGATGGGAACATATTTTTAGTGATTATCTTCATCATTAATAAATATTTACTGGGTTCCCAAAGGGTACAGGGGGTATATATGTTGGAGGAAAAGCACTGGTCAGATAGAACAGGAAATGAAGAGATGGTGAGATATAAAATGTTTAGATAGATGTAGTTTCTGTTTTCACGAATTGTGCAGGCAGCAGAAGTCTGGCAGTGAGACAAGGAGAGGCAGACAGTTCCTTATTCCCTCAGATGCTGACAGGCAGAGAGAGAGAGACAGCGCTCATCATATTTGGTCATTGCTGCTTGGACCCAGCCGTTTTGACAAGGACATTTTGATACAAACCAAAAAGCAAACTGTTAGATTTGTGTCTGTTTGTTTTTTTTTTTTTTAAATGAAGTTTATTTATTTATTTTTTAGTAATCTCTGCACCCAATGTGGGGCTCAAACTCACCACCTCGAGATCAAGAGTCACAGGCTCTTCCCACTGAGCCAGCCAGGCGCCCCAAATTTGTGTCTAATTCCTTGCTATCGAGCAAAACAGACACCTTCACCCCCATGCCTTCTCCCCCATCCTTTATCCTCATTCCTTGAGGTTTCCTCCAAGCTGCCATAACCTCATAAGTTTAACCTCTTCAAAATGCTTTAACGCATCACTTTAAATCTCAGTAGGCTCAGGGTATTTTTGTCTGTTCAAACCCTTCCTTGGAAGGACAGGCCTTTGTCCCACATTACCCTTAGTCCTCTTTCCATCAAAATGGTCCAAACACATGTCCTCCAAACAGGCTTGGTCTCTGGGCTACCAGAAGGAAAGTACAGCTGATCTTGCCAAAGGGCTGAAGTGCCCACCATGGTCTTCAGTGGCTGCCTGTTGAGCTTACCTAATCTTCTGTTCCTTCCTGTTTTCCACATTTGCACCAGATATGGTAACCTTAAGCAGCTCATCTGAACAACTGAGGCTCTCAAGTATTCTAAACTCAAGCTGCCTTAACTCATGCTAAAAGAAGGATAGATTCTTTGACATTATTTTGGCTTTAACTGTTCTTTCTTCTGGACCCCCTCAAGTCCCTCCCCTGCTCCAGAGCCTTTCCTGACCAGTCTAGCTTAAAGGCTTTACCAGCCTCTGACCTCTTACAACATTTCATGTCTGCACTATAATTATATATAGGAAAGAACCATCCTTGTTGGTCGTGTAGGTATATTTTTCCCAAAGAGATTGTAAGTATCAACTGGGCTTACAGGCCAGTTCTCAAAAGTCTGTTTAGTTAGTTAATGCAGCTGAAATGCCAAAAGTGTTCTAGAAAAAGGCTACACCAAAAGCACAAACAACAAAAGAAAAAATAAATTGGACTATATCAAAATTTAAAATCTTTCTGGTTCAAAGGACACTACCAAGAAGTGAAAAGACAACCCACAGAATGGGGGAAAAAAATATGTTCAAATCACATATCTGATAAAGAACTTGTATTCAGAATATGTAATAAACTCTTACAACTCAACAATAAAAAGACAAAACACAATTTTTTAAAGTGGGCAGTGGATTTGAATAGACATTTCTCCAATGGCCAGTAAGCACATGAAGAGAAGCTTGCTTTACGTCGTCATTTCAACATTAGGGGAGTGCAAATCAAAACCACAATGAGGGGCGCCTGGGTGGCTCACTTGGTTAAGCATCTGACTCTTGATCTCAGCTCAGGTCTTGATCTCAGGGTCATGAGTTCAAGCCCCATGTTGGGCTCCACACTGGGCTTGGAGCCTACTTAAAATGTAACGACAACAAAACACCATGAGGTATCACTTCACTAGCCATGCTTCCCCTTTGGAAGCAATTTAGCAATTCCCCAAAATATCAAACATAGAGTTACCAATTCTACTCTTAGGTATCTACCCAAGAAAATAGATAACATAGGTTCCTATAAAAACTTGTACATGAATGATCGTAGCAGCATTCATTATTATACTCGCCAAAACAACCCAAATGTTCATCAGTGATGAATGATGAATGGAAATACCAAATGTGATATACCCATACAGTGGAATAGTTTTTAGCCATGAAAAGGAACAGAACAGATGGATGAACCTTTTATTCCATTTTTAAAAGTTTAAATTCAATTAATTAGGGGTGCCTGGGTGGCTCAGTCGTTAAGCATCTGCCTTCGGCTCAGGTCATGATCCCAGGGTCCTGGGATCAAGCGCCACATCGGGCTCCCTGCTCTGTGGGAAGCCTGCTTCTCCCTCTCCTACTCCCCCTGCTTGTGTTCCCTCTCTCGCTGTGTCTCTCTCTGTCAAATAAATAAATAAAATCTTTAAAAAAATAAAAAAAATAAAAATAAATAAATAAATTCCGTTAATTAACATATAGTGTATTATTAGTTTCAGAGGTAGAGTTCAGTGATTCATCAGTCTTATATAATTCCTAGTGCTCATTATATCATGTGCCCTCTTAATGTCCCAGATAGATGAACCTTGAAAACATTATGCTAAGTGAAAGAAGTTAGACAAAAGGGCCCTATATTGTATGATTCTGTTTTCATGAAATGTCCAGAATAGGCAAATTCACTGAGACAGATAAGAGGTGAGGGAATGGGGAGTGACTGCTAATGGATAAGGAGTTTCTTTTGGTGTGATGAAAATGTTCTAAAATCAAGCAAGGGTGATGGTTGCACAACTTTATGAATATACCAAAAGCTACTGACTTAAATACTTTAAAAGGATGAATTTTGTGGTATATTTCAATAAATCTGTTACGAAAAATGGTGGTTCTAATTCTAGTAAGCAAATAAAAAGAGGAAAGAAGAATATATTTTTATTTACTTATTTTTTAATTTGGCTGCTGGTGCTGGAGAGAAAAACAGTTCTAATTAGAGAAAATAGATGGATTTTGGGTAGAAATAATAAAGGGCATTTTCAAAAGCTTTAGAATTTGACAGCATTTTTTTTTTATCATTTGTAATTTATTAGTTTACTTTTCCGGGCCATCATAAATCCTAATTTTAAATCTTGGCCACATTTAGGTTTAATTTGGAACATGTAGCTGGAAATTAGGAGAGGGAGGAAAAAGAATAAGAAAGGACTAATTTTCCCAAAGCTGACAGAGGACTTGGAAAAAATAAAGAAGGAGGATGTTGATAAAAGAATACTTATGAGTTGATTGATAGGAGCTATTGAAGTGTGGAGGAGATGTGGACTGAGACTTGTGTTCAGTGTCCATGAACAGGAAAGAAGGATGATGCTGGGGTGGCAAGAGTCTAGGGACTTCCATTGACCCTTGGTATTTTGGCTCTCCAGGGTGTCCTTATAGTAGTGAAGAAGGAGGAAAATGATTCCCATGCATAAGGTTTCCAGGGTTCCTGACTATCTCAGTATTCCGCATTTCATGCAAATGTATCTAATCTTCCCAACTAAACTGCAAATCTGAGGGCAGGCTTAAGTATTTTACGCCTCTTAAGTATTTTATGCCTGTTCCTTCTATATACATCATAGATGTTCAGCCAGTACTCCTAACATAATGAATTAGTCAATCAAATGAATAGCAACTATATCTAAAAAGCATGCTAAACAAGCTACCATGAGATTTTAATTCACTTGTTGGCCATTTTTCCTCATTGTAAAGCACTGTTCAAACAGTTACTCTGTGGTCCTGCAACCTCATCCATTTTACAGCACTTTGTAAGGAGAGGTTTGCAACCTCCACAGTCCTCAACCTTTCAGCATCTACTCTTTTGAATGTTAAATACAGCATCAAAGCCTTTTCCCATCTAGCTTGTTAGCCTTGGATATATAACATAAGTCCGTAGCATATGTTTTCCTTTCAGAATACTGGTCATCGTTCCAAACCCTCCCCCAAACCCTATCATAGTCTCCGAACCCTGGGTCATGCCTGGGACATGAGAGCAGAGTTCACAGGTATATGTTTTTAGTTCAACCGTGAATCAAACTTGGAATGTTATGAGTCTATTTCTCGTTTCCCCTCTAGGAAAAAGTATTTGGAATAGCACATGAAGAGGTAGACTGAAGCATCAGAAGAGTTGTCGTCTGGAATACTCATTATCCAGCTGGGATCCTGTCTACACTGGTGTCACCATGGAGTGTGAGAGGAAATACAAATGTGCAAGGCAGAGGGAGCATTGAAGTTTCCAAATCATCATTCCTGTGAATCCAGAGGCATCAGGAGAGGCCTTGTCTCTCTCTAGGTCATAGAATGGGTAGTAGCATGGCCCATGACATCCATGTTTTTCAGGTCCTCCCTTGAGTGTGGGAGGAAGTCTAGGAAGACAAGTGGTAATTTTCCTTTCAAATGTTCAGAACAGAAACTGTCATCTTGCCTCTGTTGGCCAATTTAGGGAAATTTTGTTACAGAAATTTGCTGATTCCATGAGGGCAAAATGATAAATCGTGCATGTGCTTACTCTTTGGTTTCTAGTACTGTTTATTTTGAAACGACACTTGCGATGGCCTAATAATGGCATTGTTTCAATGCCTACCTTTAGGAAAATGTTGCTATTCATGTTGGTAAACATAGTTCAAAGAGACCCGAGTTCACTGCTATATTCACTAGTTTGGGGAGATAGAGCCATATCTGCCTTTTGACTCACTTCCCTAGAAAAATTCTTTGGCAGTTTGAAAAAGTTGCATTTGGCAGAAAATAATTACTCCTACCACCCTTAACCGTCTCAGTGACCCCACCTCTATTTCTCAAGGTCTCTGAAACTTTCTTTGTTATTTTTTCATGGTAGTGTAATGATTAGTCACTGGTAAAATAAATATGTGGAAAAACCACTGTCAAAAGAATATCTCGTGGTTAAAATAAGTAAAAAGTAATAGTACTAAGATCTCTCTGAGGATCAAATGAGTTAATTTATAAAAAGCGCTTACAACAGTGCTTGGTATTTAGTGCTGAGTGTTCAGTTATGTTCAGTATTATGTGCTGCCCTCAGCTAAGATGAAAATTTCCTCTCAAAGCAATCACTGACTGTTTTCCTGAAATTGCTACTGCTCAGAATGAGGTTCTATAGTAAGTGAAATATGTTTCACAATTGTTTAACAATTATTTAAAACAACAATTATTAAAATAACGTCAAATTATAATCTTAAAACTTTCTGGATCTGTTGCACCCAGAATGTAGCCTGATATAAAACAGGTGTTTAATAAACCTTTGATGAACAAATAAATGGATGAATTAATCAGACTTACTTTTAGCTTCATGGGAAAATTGGACCTATCTAATATCCCATGCTTCACTGCTCTACCCATCTTAATTAAAATGAGTTATTCTCTTTTACTTCCTGCCCCCCCCCCAACACACATACACAGAGAAAAATCATAAGTGTTAGGGATAAAGGAGTTTCCTTTTACAGATGGAGACACTGGAGATGGCCTCTTCTCCCATGGTGATCCCATCATTCCACACTATTTGCAATTTCCCAAATGTATCATGCAACCTTGTACCTCTAAGCCTTCATAACAATACTTTCTCCACTTGGCGTGTCCTTGCCTCCTGGTCCTCTCTCCCCTTATGTCCACTAATTCAATTAATTCCGGCCCATCTTTCCAAATTCCCTCCCTCATCTCCTCCAGGAAACATTTGTTAACCCTCCCTTGGCTGCCATAGGGCTATATTTGGACGTCTTCAAAAGGATGTTCCATAACATATTGTTTATAGACATTATATTTAATACATTATGCCATAAGAACCAGTCTTTTGCAGTGGATTATAAACTCTTTTATAAACAAGTATTATGTCTAATTTAACTTTGTCTAGCTAATGCCTGGCACATTTTAATGTATAACTCAGCCTCACTGCTATAACCTGTAAATCATTGAGATTGGACTATGGCCCAAAATATGTGTCGTTTTAACAAACTCGCCAAATGTTCCAATATTATCTGCAGCTTCCAGCCAAGATGAAGTAATAGTAACTGAGTTTAATCTCCTGCTTAAAACACTGGGAAAAAAAAAAAAAGACAAAATGTATGAAAGACTAGTTTTCAGTTTTCAAGACGTTGTGCATCAGATAATGAAGAACTTGTCCCTGAGAGATGAGAAATAAAGTGAGCCCTGTGATTGCCCTAGAGTACTGCAGATAGAGTTTTTAGGCTGTGCTGGAGGGAAGGGAACCCACATAGGGCTCAGCAGTCTCCCAGACTGGAGGAGATAGAGCCTTGGAGTCCAGGAAGGCCAGGGAGATCAAGTCTGCAGGACAAATAATGGACAGAAGAGAATGGCACACAAAGCTCCAGAAATTTACAGACAGATCCCCTCAAGTTTTCAGCTGAATACTGATCAGCATGTGCATGTGAAGAAGTTATTGAGGGGAACACTCTTCAAGTTTCAAGTTCACACAGGGCTGGGAGTAGTCCCTATTTCCATTAGCCAGAATGGAAAAACCTCAAAATTTGCATGGCAATAGGTAGAATACCCAGAAGAATTTTGCTTCAGTAGTGGGGAAAAAATAAGCTCTAGATTAAACACGCTGGCTCTGTCCAACAAAGATGAAGAGCAAGAACCAGAAGGATTAAGCTGCAATCAAGTAACTTAGCTGTGTTCCAGAACAAAGCTCAAGAATCTTTTAGGATCACAAAAATATCCAATACCCAACAAGATAACAATCACAGTGTCTGACACCCAATGTAAAGAAGCAGCAAAATGAGACCTACAATGAGAAAAATCAAGAAAAACAACCCCAGAAATGATACAGCTGATATAATTATTAAACAAGGACATTAAAACTACTGTAACCATATTCCATAAATTCAATAAGCTGGAGGAAAGGCTGAACATGTGAAGAACACATAGAAATTATACATATGACTCAAATCAGAAGAAATCTATAACTCTGAGATGAAAAATACACTGGATTGAATTAACAGCAATGAGACATTATAAAAGGATAGATAAGTAAACTTAAAGACAATTTTTTGAGGCTTCGGCTCAGTTCAGGATCTTGGGGTCCTGGAATAAAGCCCCACATTGGGCTCTGCGCTCAGCAGGGAGTCTGCTTCTCCTTCTCCTTCTGCCCCTGCCCACCCCTCACTCTCTCTCTTTCTATCTTGAAAAATAAAAAAAGAAGCCAGAGAAAAAGGTACATTACATACAGAGAAACTAAAATAAACACAGCAAATTTTTCTTTGGAAACAATATAGGACAGAAGAAAGTAAAGTAACATCTTCAAAATAGCAGAGAAAAAAAAACTGTCAACACAGAATTCTATACCCAAAAAAAGGAAGGTGAAATACTTTGTGAGATGTACAAAAGCTAAAAACTCCACACAAGTAGATTTAAACTACAAAAAATATTAAAGGAAGTCCTTTAGGCAGAAGAAAAATTATACCAAATAGAAATCTTATCTACAGAAAAGAAAGAGCACTGGAAATGATAAATATGTGAGTGAATATAAGACTTTTTCTTATTTAAATCTCTTATTTAAAAGATAATGGGGAGCACCTCGGTGGCTCAGTAGGTTAAGCGTCTGTCTGCCTTTGGCTCAGGTCATGATCCCAGGGTCCTGGGATCAAGTCCCACATCAGGCTCTCTGCTCAGCGGGGAGTCTGCTTCTCCCTCTAACCCTCCCCCCTGCTCACTCACGCTCTCCCTCATAGTCTCTAATAAACAAATAAAATCTTTTTTAAAAAATGATAATGGATTGGCGCACCAGGGTGGCTCAGTTGGTTAAGTGTCTGCCTTAGGCTCAGGTCATGATATCAGGGTCCTGGGATCAAGCCCTGCTTTGGGCTTTCTGCTCAGTGGGAAGCCTGCTTCTCCCTCTCCCTCTGCCTACCACTCTGCTTACTTGTGCTCTCTCTCTCTGTCAAATAAATAAATAAAATCTTTAAAAAAATACATAAAAATCGCTCTATTAAAAAAGATAATGGATCATTTAAAGGAAAAATAATAATATGTTGTAGCATTTATAACATACACAGAATAAAATATATGACAATAATAGTACAGAGGCTGGGAAGAGAGAGATGGAAGTATAATTGTAAGTGTCCATACTACACATGAAGTGTATAATTTCATTTGAAAGTAGACTGGTAAGTTAAAAATGTATACTATAAATCTAAAAAACCACTGAAATATATACATACACCTACATAGTCACATAAGGTTTATAGCTAATAAGCCCAAGAAAGGTGATAAAATGGAATCATAAAAAATACTTAATCTAAAAATAAAGCAGAAAAGGAGGAAAAGGGGAACAAAGAACAGACAAGACAAAAAGGAAACAAATAACAGTTTGGTATATTAAATCAAGCCTTATCAATAGTCATGATAAATGAAAATGGTCTAAATATCCCAATTAAAAGGCAGAGATTACTCGGTTAGATTTAAAAAGCCAGGCCTAGCTATCTGTAGTCTACAAAAAACCACTTTAAATATAAAGACACGATTATATTAAAAGGATGGGAAAAGTACTATGATAACACTAATTGAAAGAAAGATGGAGTGGCTATATTAACATCAGTCGAGCAGATTTCAGAGCAAAGAATATTAATATTATTGTCATTTAATAATAATAAAGGTCAATTCTTCAAGAGGACATAACAATTCTAATGTTTATGCACCTTCCAGTGTGTTTTTTTCCACACCACCAGGAATTCTCGGACACCAGCTGGTTATCCTACGGTTCAGCTCAATTCAACTATCTATCAGAGATAATGTCAGAGCCCACAGATTAAGGGCCTAGTCCCATGAGATTGGCTTCTCGAAACACAGTCTTTAGACACAATCTAGGTTTTTGACCAATAGGCTATAAATCAGAAGTTCCTATGACCTCCTCCTTGGGTTCAATTAATTTGCTAGAACAGCTCACAGAACTCAGGGAAGCATTTCACTGACTAGATTACTGCTCTATTATAAAAGGATAGAACTCAGGAACAGCCAGATGGAAGAGATGCATAGGGCAAGGTATGGGGAAAGGAGCATAAAGCTTCTATGCCCTCTCTGAGTGTGCCACTCTCCCAGTACCCACATGTGTTCACCAACCGGGAAGCCCTGCCAACCTCATCCTTTTGGGTTTTTATGGAGGCTTCGTTACATTGGCATGATTAATTAAATCACCAGCTATTGGCAACTGATTCAACCTCCAGCCCTCTCCCCTCCCCCGAGTCAGTGGGAACTTTCAGTCCCACCCCCTCAATTCACAGGGTTGGTTCCCTTGACAACCCATCCATAGGTCACCTAGGGACTTTCCAAAAGTTGCCTCATTAACATAACAATAAACACCTTCATTGCTCTCATCACTTAGGAAATTCCAAGGGTTTTATTACTTCTGTGCTGGGAAGAGCAGGGACAAAAACCAAATGTGTATTTCTTATTGTAAATCATAGTGTCACAATCTAATAACAGCTTCAAAGTACACAAACCAAAAACGGATAGAATTGCAAGAACATAGACAAATTCACAATCAGAGATTTCAATGCCTCTCAATAATTGATAGAACAGGTAGACAGAAAATCGGTAAGAATACTGTAGCCTTCAATGCTGCTAACCCACTACACCTAATTGACATCATAGAGCATTAAAACCAACAATAGAAAACACATCTTTTTCAGATGCATGCAGAACATTTACAAACTATATTCTGGGCCATAAAACAAATGTCAGTAAATTTAAAAGGATTCACATAATACAAAGTATGTTTGTTGATCACAGTGGAATTAAATTATAGATGGTAATAGATATCTAGATAATCCCTAAAATGTTTGAAAATTAAATAACCCATGTCTAAATCACCCATGGGGAGATGAACCATGAGAGATGATGGACTCTGAAAAACAAACTGAGG